AATCTGATTGGCTGAAACTCGTCTCGACAATTCGCGATAGACGTAGCACACGTGTGTTAACCGTCTTTGAAATTGTAGCAGTGTATGCAATGTATACCCAACCATGACTGGTAGTAATACGTAAAAAGTAGAAAAGGGATTGAACTCATGTCATCGTATAGTAAACGCACGAATACAACCCAGAATGCAATTATAAGTTACCAACGTCATTACAATATGTGTATACACGCGTTGTTCACGACAATATCAAACATGACACGCTGTATGCGTCACATGAAATCCACGTAAAACACAACATGCCGTTGTATATATCACACGAACACGGTGCTGGTTTTATTTGTTCCGTATATTTTTAATCTCCATAATCATAGTATACCGATTAGAACCGTATGACTGCTCTCCCTTAAAGGATGCGGGTTTGAAGGAACTTCGATACCAACATCACGTTAATTATAATAAAGGTTTCAGCTATCCCGACGATTCACATATTTACATTGAGTACCCACCCGTTCTCACTATTTAAATGTCGTTCAAGAATTTAGTAATATTTGATGAACTGTTCCAGCAACTGACCACGTTACTGCTATACAATTCTATTAGCAAAATCTTTATATACCATTCAATCGCTAGATTGCGAGAGCGAGAACGTGTTTATTCGTTTTTTGAATTAATACAGAAGTCCCAGAAAATCAATAGGTTCATGATTCAAGGATGTCCTCTAATGTAAATGACCCACCAGACGAGTATCTCAAAATTACAGGCTCTCTTTCTAGAATTTCCCTGTCATCTAAATCATCTCTTATGGTTGTGTTGGTTGCTTCAGTTTCAGATTTCATCAGAAATACGCACGTCTTCTCTCTAAGTGGGCCCGCCAGCGATGGTGCTTTCTGCAACGTAAATGCATGCAAAATTCGGTTGAGATCTGTCGCCCGCTATTTTTTGGAGGTTTGCTATTTGACGGCCTTGCCTACCGATTTTACGTCATACAGGCACTATATCGCTAGAGGACGAAATTTTACCATTACGATGTTATCAAAGATCTATTCTTGATGATCCAATAATAATTATTGTTTTAACATTTGTGATATTTGATTACTAGGTTTGAATTTGATTTGTAAATCGTATTTTGGAGACTTTAGTCACAGCAATATTTTACATTCACCCGTATAGAATGTGCATATTTTATTCTACGGAAACACCGATCAGTTTACTCTTAACAATTTCAACAAGTTAACTGAATAATATACCACCACAACCAAACACATGGTATGCCGTCATATTGGATAAGATCATAGAAACTCTCGATACCGTATATTTACTTAGCTTATATATCCAAATACATCTACCGAACTTGAAATCATTTTGCACAACTTTGCAGTCACTTTGCACCGTGCGTTAACAGCTTAAATCTTAGTACTTGCTGACGGCATCAACAATTTTTTTCCTTGAAAATTATTAGGAATTTGAAAACTTGCCATTAATTTAAAAAAAGACAACAATTATACGATTCACTGCGATAAGTGACATGATAGTTAAAATGAATACAGGAAAGTTGCCTCATATTTTTCCATGTGTGTTATGAAGCAAAAGGAAAGAGTCACACACATTGTTTACTCAGAGATTATCTGATCCTAGTACTAACCAGGCACGATCGTACTTTACTTTAAACATTGGCCTAAGGACACAGCTGCATTATTTAGTCGAATTGGCAGCTTATTAATGTTTGGAATGTTTAAACATTTGTATTGCTTGCACAGGTACCTTCTAGAATTTACCCATGACCTCTACATGCTCCGAGTAACACTACGCTATTTGAGCACTAATATACGGAATAGTTATTCATATTTTAGAACTTTTAACCATGGGACATGTGAAAATAATATCATAGGTAACAATCGCAAATGAATCCACCATCTTTTCAATCGCTTTGCACAACTTTGCAAGCAGTTTGTCGTCGATTTTTTGTTTCGCTGTTGTGATAATCTGCTAATATATGAGACATTTTTGAGACGGTCATTTATTGTTTTCGACATTTAACTGCGAGGTTGTCATGACAATGACTAAGGTTAAATATACAAGCAACTCCGTCGAAATTTCAATCGCTTTTTCCAACTTTGCATGCTGTTTTCTAACATTTTACGGTTTCTAGACTTATAAACCGCGTGCTTCTCTATGCCAAAATCTTAGCTCATATACACAAATACATATATACAAATTCCAACCTTGCAATCACTTTGCACAACTTTGCACGGTGTGTTAACAGTTTAAATCTCAGTGCGTGCCGATGGCGTCAACAATTCGTTGTTGAAAAATATTAGGAATTTGAAAACTTTTCATTAATTTAAAAAATTACAACAATTCTAAGATTTTCTGCGATAAATGATTGTCATCACAGTAAAATGAAAGCAGGAACGTTGACTCATATCTTTTCCATGTGTGTGATGAGGCAAAAAGTAAAAACCCAAGACCTTGTTCACTCAGGGAGTCTCCCATGCAAGTATTATCCACGCCCGATTGTGTTTTACTTTAAACAATGGTAGATCACATAACCACACAGGTGCATGAGTTATCCGACATTTAGTCGAATTGACGGCTATTTCATGTTTTGGAATGTTTTAACATTGGTATTGTTTGCACAAATACCTTCCAAGATTTACTTATAACATCTTCATATTCCGAGTAACACTACGCTAATTTAACGCCAATTTACGAAATATTTATTCACATTTTCGAACATTTAACTATTGGACTTGTTAATATAATATCACATTTAACACTCGCAAATGAATCTACCTACTTTTTAATCGCATGTCAAAACTTTGTAAGCAGTTTGACATCGATTTTTGGTTCACTGCTGTGATAATTTTCGAGACGTTTACTTATTGTTTTCAACATTTAGCTGCGGGGTTGTCATGACAATGCCATAGATTAAATATACAAGCAACTCCGCCGACATTTAAATCGCGTTTTCCAACACTGCACGTTGTTGTCTAACAATTAACGGTCAGCTCATGTGAACATCTGATAATATAGGCTACTTTCAACTGGCTTTTATTAAATTTATGGACTTTTAAACTGCGCGGTTCTATATGCCAACAATTAGGTCATATATACAAATACATCTACCGTCCTTGCAATCCCTTTGCACAACTTTGCAATCCCTTTGCACAACTTTGCACGATGCGTTAACAGTTTAAATCTCACTATTTGCCGACGGCATCAACAATTTGTTTTTTGAAAATTACTAGGAATTTGAACACTTGCCATTATTTTTTTTAAAGTGACAACAATTCTACGTTTCTCTGCGATAAATGATTGTCATCACAGTAAAGGGAATGCAAGAACGTCGCCTCATATTTTTTCCATGTGTGTGAGAAGCAAAAAGTAAAAAAAAAATCTTACACCTTGTTTAGTCAGGGAGCCTCTCATGCAAGTACTATCCGCTACCCATGCTTAACTTTAAATGTTGGTCGATCACCTAACCACACTGCTGCATAAGTTATTCGAAATTTAGTCGAATTGACGGCTATTTCATGTTTTGGAATGTTTCACCATTGGTATCGCTTGCACACTTACCTTCTAGAATTTACCTATGTCCTCTACATGCTCCGTGTAACACATCGCTAATTTGTCGCCAATTTACGAAGTATTTATTCACATTTTCGAACTTTTGTCTATGGGACATGTTAATATAATGTCACAGGTAACACTCAAAAATAATCACTTTTCACAGCTTTGTAAGCAGTTTGTCGTCGATTTTTCGGTTCACTGATGTGATAATCTGCCTATATATTTCGAGACTTTTACTTCTTGTTTTCAACATTTAACTACGGGGTTGTCATATACAAGTAATTCCTTAATTCCTTAAGTAATTCCAGAGGCGGTGCATTTTAGTGAATCAGTTGAGGAGGACACGAAAAAGAACTGCACTATAAAATGTGAGTGAGCAAACTAGTACGAGAAATTAGCAAGTATACTATTTAACTATATTTATATGACACATATATTTTAATTTTTGTGTAACTAAACCTCTACTTGTGCGAAACTAATTAACAAAAGTACTATTTATTTTTTTTATATTTTTTTCATTTTGTGTTGTATTCATGAAATATAATCATTATTTTATTTGTTGCCAGAATAATCTCAAACCACATTCAAAACTGCTGAGCCGCAGACCAGCATTGGAAGTTTGGAAGAACCGATAAATAAAATGGCAGCCAGAGTCAACTTGATTGCATGTACCATTGCGGTTGAGATAATACGCTTCAGATATTAATTACCATACAATGTATAACGAATTTCAATTCCCCACCATAATTGTTGTCTGTTTAAAATGCAATCAACCCTGATGTACTCAACTCGGGGTGGGGGCGGGGGTTGGCGGTAAAGGGACATACATTTTAACGTAATTACTCTTAGAACACAGATGATACCTTGGTGTGTGAATGAAAAGCACGCGTGTTTAGATACGTATCAACAACCCATTGTACGAGTACAGTCACTGGTTTGTGTTGTGGCATAATGGTATGTTTCGGACAGTTGCATGGTAATTGTGGTTGGAATGTGTTGAGGGAAGTGCTGTTGGCAATAACAATAAATATGATATCATTGACCTGAGTCTTCTATTTTACATTGGTTGAGCTTGAATAAAAAGTGGATTATTCCAGTATATTGGCATTCTCTATGCACTGATATGTTTGTTATTTATAGATAACCAATCCGGAATATTTTCGTCCCTGCATTGCCTCAATTTGAGTAATATACTTTCACAAATAGATCCTATCCCATGACAGCAGACAAGCTGATGTCAGACAACAAACAAATAAGATAAACAAACCATCGTCTTCTATTAGACCTGCATTGAAAATTAGCTGATAGCTCCTGAATACGGAGTAGCCATACAAATGCCCTTCCCGTATTTTATGCCACAATACTAATACATGCACAAATTACCTTTGATGATATTTTGGTTAATTTCATCAGAAAATATGCACTACGCATGTGTTTGTCAATGTTCATAGGATTTATTCTATTGATCTCATAATTAAATTATAACTAAATAGAAGCACATAACACACTATTATATTATCTTTGACTATTTCACTGATGATGTCTTCCAACAGGAGATAGACTGATCCATTCGTTGTTTAGTTTATGTTCACCTGCCAAAGAGATGGCCCACTTGAAGACAAAACAAAAAACAAGTTGACAAAACTGTTGCATTCCATGTATTCACAAAATCACATACGTACATACTGTACACATCAAGGGAATTATTAAATGAATTTATTTCCCATTTGTTTTTATTTCACCCTCATAACACGAATCCATCAGACACTGAATAATCAAACTCGTTCATTCAACAACTGCTTTCGTGAATTTACATTTAGTGAATCTTACACCGATTAATTTGATTATTCTGCACACAATATGTGTCATCTTTGCTTTATAAGAAATAAATATACTAATTATGCAATGTTATCCGGCGTCTCAAAATGAAAATAGCTACAATCAATATTGTATATCAGAATTTTTGATGCAATATTGGTCAGGTTTTTTAAAAAGTATTTTTAAATAGGTGAAAGCCAAGGCTTAGTGACATACTCGACACACTAAGCACTAAAACTCAAATAAGATATCGAAAATTAAGCAGGACAAAACAATGAGTACAAGAACTTTAACACAAGCAATGCCAAAATAACAACCACCCACAAAATATTTGCAACTATGATACATGGATTATTGACCAAGCCACTGATAAAACAGAAATGAACACATTTCTTAAAAATATGAAATCTGTTTAGTATGCCACCAATTAAAACTACTTAATAAAGAGATAATCTACTTACTCCTATCTACAAATTGTCGTCCCTGCATCATGCCATGTAAAAAACACACATATGCATTACTCAAAGGAATGAATATTAGTTCTGCGCTTTATTACGTAAATACATTCGGGTGTGTGGAAAATACACACACTGTAAATTATGAAGTAGTAAGTAAATATAATATTATTACTATTAATCTTTATCATTGTGATTATTGACTTACCGGCAAATTTGCTGCTCGAACATCATTTACGTCTGAAATTGAAAGTGATTGTAAATCAGGATATCTGAAATGTTTCATTAAATTAGAAACGAGAATTGAAAAAATTATAAATTGAATGTATCAAACCTTGTCCGACAGCTTCACCTTCTAAATCCTGTTGAAAATAATAAATTGGCTTGTAATAATTATATTTATGATCATTCATAGATATATAAATATATATATAATGCCACAAGAAAACAATACTGTATTATCAAGTCCTTGAAGTAAACGGTCAGCAATCGCAGTGTTCGTATTCGAACGGAAACCCGTTACACGAACTGAATGAACAAATGTTAATTTAGATCGTAAAATAGTGCAATAAATGTTAGTTCCAAAATTTCTAACTTGACATTTTGTCGCCTCGCATAATGAAATGGAAATTAAAGGCAACGCAAGTCTACTTACTGACAATTGCTGTTCTTCACCACTAATATTGATGACCAGTAAGAATAATAAAGCAAAAATCATTACAGATCGCATGCTTGCTGTAAAGGCTGCAATTATAAATGATAGAACAATTAGTAAACAATAGTTCAGCGTGTCTTCAAACGTGGACACGTAATTCAACAACGATCGTGTAATATGCAATAAAATTATACATACACTGCGATTCGTATCAATGGTTTGTAGTAAATAATGCATACATTAAATATTCGATGGTTTCAGGCAGACTGGTGTGGTTGACTGGGTCTATGAACTTTTTTTATTTGTTCATTTAGTATTTTTGTATATTGTCATGACAACACATACAAGTGGCATTCTTAACCAGGAAGCTTAGACTGTATAATTGAGTTGTTGTATAATCGGGTGAAAATGTGTTCTAGTCCTGGGTGAATTCGAATAATTTTCCTAACACGTTCAACAAATATATCGGAACATAACATCGTGAAATATCAGTCTATCTAACAATAGAAGAGGTCAGAATCAGGAATGGCGAGGTACCAACTTTTTCGACTACTACCCTCTTCTCTCATTTTATTTGAATATTCACGCATTTCCTTTGTCTATGTCCATTCATAGTACAGTCTTGATTTGCTGAATTAAAAAGGGATCATGCGTAGTGACGCATGCGCGGTGGCACAATGTATGTATTTTGAGACACCGTCACATAGTGACATATTAAGAACTCCTCGAATAGGTGAATTGGCCTCAAGTAAAAAAAAATATGGGAATATCAAACTGATTTCAATATGGACGTTTATACAGTGATAATTATAACACTAAGAATAAAAAAATAATAAAATCATTAACACATTAAAATAATTATTATGTTACAATAAACTGAATCAAATTATATATGAAAATTATACATTTTTAACCCGAAATTTATGAAACCGTATTGATTTGAAAAAAAAGAAATATGTGGCAATAAGTGATTTAAAATATTCAAATATATGTAATCGTTGATTTGTGTTTATATGGAATGTGGTTAAAACAAGTTCTTGTAAGTTCTTGTAATTGAAGGACTATAATTCACTGATCCAGGGAATGTGATGTGAACGTAAATTGCGCTTTCTACAAATTCCTCGTTGCAGTATGGACAGGCTTAAAACATTCAATCAAAAATTCGATGATATGTTTTACATAATCATACGAGCGTTTGTACAGACGGTCCTTGCAACCGAGTACATTTCTTCGATTATTAGCAGGCTCAGATTCATTTACAATATACGTGTCTAGAGGCCCCGACTAAGCGCCTTCTGTAAACTAACATTAAGTGGGTAATAATCAAAAGACCGACGATTTAAAAAACATCCATATCTTTTATCATTATTTGCAATTCCGAAATAATCAAGCGTCTACCATTTTAAAATATTATTCGTGTTTGTGCCGAACGATGGAATACGCGTGGAACTAGCTGCGAAAGCAGCGTATCGGTTTTATTTTTCTTATAAACACCTATTTAGCTGCATGTATGAACTGTGAAAATATATACTGTCAATAAAACAACTCTTGAACTATTCGAGTTACTCTAAACTGACGTTATTTGGCAAACTAAATAATACCACGTCATTGGTAATGTCCGAATTCACATATACTTTCAATTCCATAGCTGTATCTAATTCCACTCTACTGATAATCTCATTTTAACTTCCCGATGAATTGTTCTCATATGATTTCAGGAAAGACAGCAGTGAGCAATATACTAAGTATTTATACAGTGCGAAAGGCAAATTGGTTATGAGTTATTTCGACAAAAATAACACCCATGGAACACACATCGAACACATTTTTAACAGCTATCTTGCGTCATTTGGTGGGGTACGCTTTTATTCTGTTGTTAATTATGTAATCGACACTCATTTTCCCCGAACACGTGTCGAACGCTTGGTCAGAAATTATAAGTAACGAATTAATGACAGTGGAATTATTTAAAATAAGCGATATATTAACATTCAAGGCAGATATGTATTTTTCAAAGAAATTTATGTTATTGGTATTACTGATGTATATGATGTAAATAATAAAATTATAAATTAGTATGCATTAGTTCAGTGTGTGTTTAAATGTGGACCAACAATGTGTAATGTGCAATGAAACAATACATTACCTTATTCAATTGGATACGAGATGTGAAAACACTGCAATCCGTGTCAAAGAATGGTCGTAAATAATTTATACAGTTAAATATTCGATGGTTTCAGGCAGAGTGGTGTGATGGACAGATTGTATGAGCTGCTTTATTTTTTTATTTAGTAATTTTGTATATTGTCATGACAACACATACCAGTGGAATGGTCGATCACATAAACCACACAGCTAAACGAGTTATTTAAAACTTTATCAAGATGGCGCCTCTTTCATATTTTGGGATGTTTGAACATTGGTATCGCTTGCACAAGTACCTTCTAGAATTACGCGGTGACCTCTACATGTTTCGAGTAACACTACGCTAGTTTAATGTTACATTTCAGAACGTTTAATCATGAGACATGTTAATATGATATCACAGGAAACAATGGCAAATGAATCTAAGCAACTTTGCAATCGCTTTTCACAACTTTGTAAGCAGTTTGTCGTCGATTTTACGGTTTGGGTTGTCATGACAATGACTTAGGTAAAATATACAAGCAACTCCGCCGACATTCAATCACTTTTTACAGCTTTGCACATCGTCTACTAACATTTTACCGCCAGCTCATGTGAACAACCGCTAATATAGGCGGATTTCTACTGGCTTTTATTAAATTTATCAACTTCAAAACTGCGCGATTTTATATGCCAACAAGCTCATATATACAAATACCATCTACCAATCTTG